TTGATCGGCGGATGGATTGTCGGGGATGCAAAGTTTTTTTTCATCTCAAGTGTAGTCGTTGATCCCAGAAGAGTGTGGACGATCAGAACTGCTACCCACTTCTCAGAAGAGAAGGAAAACACCTACAGCCAATGTTTTCTTACAAAAGCGCATGAACCCATAATATCACACTTTATTTCCAGCTATGTCGGAGCTGTTACCGCTCAATCACTTCCTCTAGAGAGGGTCTCAGTTCTTCGCTGCACCGAGGGGCATACCCTTTCTTCTCCAAAACAGGACACCAAACGGATATTGAATTTTGGAAAAAGAAATAGATAAAATTATTCGGAGCAAGTATACCCGAAAACCCCTCTAGCCGTAATTCTGAATAGTTCTGAAACAATACCTCAGTAAAACAAATAGCGCAAACGAGGTGGAAGGATTCCATTTCACCCAAAGAGGCAACTCCTTTTCTGGAAAAATGCTTAGAACTTTTATTTCCGAAATTCGAAAATAAGTAGCTCGAAAACTTCTAATGTAGCTGAAGCAACGACTCCAAGTAAGCAAGTGTCCCCTTTCGGGTGCGTAGTTCCCCTTCTATTCACAGCAACAATCAGAATTTCCTATGGGAAATCAACCCCAATGGACTTTGCGTTCCAAAAACAGGCACGTTCGAGTTCTCGCTGCCTTTATAGGTTGGTAGAATTTAATGATTGACAATGATGACGGTTCGAAAGTCCTTCAAACAATCATACCAGACTGCCAAATGTCAGAGGGGGAGGTAGCGGTCAGATTACGGCTCTTGCCGAAGTCTCACATAAAGTCCCATCCAACTACCAATCTGGTTCCTTGTTCGGAGTTGCTTGGTGCTCATATTATCCCAAACCTGTCCAGAAACGACATCTTGACAGCGCTCCGTCTTTCTTGGATTTCTCTGAATGCAAGGTTCAATAAAAGCAATTTCTAACAGTATCCGGTAGAGCAACCAAGAAAGCTCGGTACGATTACTTTTCGCTTTGGAAAGCTTTCAGCTAAATGCTCGGATATGNAAATGCTCGGATATGTCAATGCAATCTATGTATGTATGATACTCGCATTTCGCCATTCAGTAACAAGAGGCATTCCTAGCCGCTTGAAGCCAACACCAACACTTTCATCCACTACCCTCAAGTCGGTCGGCCCTCATCAACTTGCGCACTTTCGCCGTCTCGCGTCGTCGCTTCAATTAAGCCAAACACATTCCTTTCAATAGCCAACAAATGTCGTATGTATCGAGATTCCACCACGTATTGAACTAATTCGAATGCTCAGACTCGGAGACCACAAACGAAAACGTCTTGGCGATGGCACTAATGGAGTACCCCTTCGGGTGCTCTTCTACATAAACATGAATTGTGGTCGCGCTAATCAAGTGTCATTGAAAAACAACTAGAGAAGACGCTATAGAATTTTGAGGCCTCCTTGAGATATTTCCAGCAGCTTTTGGACTGGGAAAGGTGGTAGCTCAGGATATGGGTAAGAATCTGAATGATCAACAACAACAAAAAGCAAATGGTATACGTTGCAGGACCGATATGAGAAGACTAGCCGAAACGCAGAATGTTCACATCTTAACTTTTACTAGAAGTCTTATCTGATTGTAAGTTAAGGTCTATCTTTGGTCTCGCTGGAACTACTATTACTTCTCGAAACCAAAGAAGCAAATTTGAAAGCGCAGTTCACAATAAAAATGGTCTTTTAGGATTTCCCTTTAGTATTGATTCATGGCTCCCTCTCATGTCGTTGAAAAATCGAAATGTCCTGGATAGGGCACAATAGGGGGTCAGAGGTTGTATCGTGTGAATGCCACACCCATAGTGGACGAGTTTCAATGGCTTTACAGAGGCTGCACTATATCAATAGACTCCCATTAGGATGTTCAAATAACTTGTCACAGCCTTTGGCGGCAGTGAAAAGCAGTTCCCAACAATGTCGTCTTGTTGTAGTCATCTCTTTGAGCGATGGGTGCAAGTTGAATCTCGTCCAAACACCCTTTATATGCCATTACCGTCACGGTTATCTCGTACAACCTCAACCCCCGCTACTTTCAAAGTGCCTTGAAGTAAGCGGATTTTCTCGCTTTTTTCACCACCGATATACTTCTCTACATCAACACTTCCGCTTTTCAACCTGAAAAGGGTACCTCATAATTATCGTGAATTGGTCCTCCAAGTTAACCAGTGCAGTTTATTATTCCCGAAGCTACACTTATGACCACATTGCCTATATTACGCAGCAGAATTTATTGATTGCAAAAATCAGAAAAAATACTTAATAAAGCCAGTATTCACGATGGAACTATGCCGAAAATTTTTGTTGAAGAATCATTTGACCTCTGTTGCCCCTGTAGACAAGTGAAATTATTGAAAAAGCTCTTGAGAGAGCCGATTCTACGTCGCCGAATCTGTCAAGCAGGGAGGCTCCAAAGAAGGCGACTCTGCCAAAACGTGAGCCACAAAAGCGATGCGAACCTTGTGTAGAGTTATATCAATAGAGTTATT